GCCAAACTTTGACAATTCCAATACATGTAAATGAGTAAAGGTAAGTCTGCCTCTATCTTTCCACTTTCTCCAAATTTTCTTGCTTTCAGCTGAATTTTGATCAAAACTGAATTGATTGAAAACAACAACAAAGTTTTGAGAACGTATTTTGCTATGTTGCCCAGACTGATCTCAAACTTGTAGAAACAAATTGATCCTCTCACCTTAGTCTCCTGAGAAGCTGGCATTACGGACATGAAAATTTGAAATCTAGAATTTATCATCCTATAGATTCATTTGAATATTCCTGTTTAGAATCCCAAGCTCCCCTTTCAGATCTTTTCTGTACCCACCCACACCCCTTGGAAAAATTTCTTAGTTTTCCACCTTTACATCTTATACACTCCTTAGAAGAGGTGGCTTCCTTAAGTTTCTTGTATGTGGGATTAAGTTTCTTTTTAATTACATTTCTTATTAAGTATTAACAGTGTGTAGAAGGTATACAATTTTAATTTGACCACTCTGTAGATGATCTTTCTCCCCAGGACTGCCAGCTCACAAATAATGACACAGAGACTTATTATTAATTATGAAAGATTGGCCTTAGCTTAGGCTTGTTCTAACTAGTTCTTATAACTTAAATAAATCCATACCTTTTAATCTATGTTCTTTTATGTGGCTTGGTTACCTTTACTCAGTACTGTTCATCCTGCTTCCTCTGAGTCTGGCCAGCAACTTTGCCTTTCTTCCTCTTCAGGTCCTCTCTGTCCCCAGAAGTCCCTTCTAACCTCTTCTTGCCTAGATAATGACCATTCAGCTCTTTATTAAACCAATCACAGTGACACATCTTCACAAAGTGTAAAGGAATATGCCACAGCACCGCTCCAGTGAATTTACTTAAAGGCTTGTTGTCTCTGAGATTTTCTAGTGAGCTAGTTATACTATCTATAAATTTTATGAACTCTTGCTTTTCACTGTTTTTGCATTTTTTTGCATTATCCAGATCCCAATGCACAATGGTAAATAATGATGTTAATAGATGTTAAAAAATCATGTTCCTCCTTCATCTTTATTTAGAATGCCCTTGATATTTGACAAATATGATATGTTTTACTTTGTGTATTTATAGAGGCATTTTAATATAAACTATGTATTTGCCCATTTATATATATATAAAATAATAGTAAAAGTACAATTGATCCTTTATTTATAGATTCCTTATTTACAGATTCAACCAACAATGAACACAAAACACTCAAAAAGTTGTGTGTATATGGACTTTACTTTTTTCTTGTCTCTATTGACTAAACAATAAGGTATTATACAGTATTTACATTGTATCAGGTACTGTAAGTAATCTAGGGGCAATTCTTAAAGTAGGGGATTGTGAATACACATACTTATGTCACTATGCTCTTTTATAGAAAGTACTCGAGCATTAGTGGATTTTAATACCCCTGAGGGCTGGAACAAGTTCTCCTAAGAGTACTGACAGAGTGGATATATTCACATTTACTTCTAGGTCATTAAGTATGTCTTTAAATGTCCCTGTCATAAAGTAACATTTCATCCTTCTTGGGTCTTTGATAGAGTTGAAGACTAAATAGCTATAATTATAATTTTCCTTAGTTATAATAGAAAATAAATAAGATACAAAACTTTAGACTCACTAAGACCGGATAGATAATTAAATATTTTCTCTAATTTTGACAAATGCAAATGGATTGGATATTGTTACTGTAATTCTTAATAACTGTTTTGTTGTATATAATTCTATTGTGTTAAAGTTAAAACCTTCCTTTTTAAGTTAGACCATAAAGGGGAAATGCTGTGGATATTTTTTTTTTTTTTGAGACAGGGTTTCTCTGTGGCTTTGGAGGCTGTCCTGGAACTAGCTCTTGTAGACCAGGCTAGTCTCGAACTCACAGAGATCCACCTACTTCTGCCTTCCGAGTTCTGGGATTAAAGGCCTGTGCCACCAATGCCCGGCGCTGTGGATATTCTTACACACTGTGTAAATTATGCTCGGATTGGTTTAATAAAGAAGTTAACTGCCCAATAACCAGGCAGGACAAGTTTATGTGTAAAACAACAAACTAAGGAAGGGAAGAAGAAGGGCAGAGTCCAGGCTGGGGGCGGGAACTTGAGCCAGCTAGTCACCGAGGGGCAAGATGCTAGAGGACAGGTAAAGCCATGAGCCATGTGGTAATATATAGATGAATAGAAATGGGTTAATTTAAATGTAAGAGCTCGTTAATAATAAGCCTGAGCTATAGACCCAGCATTTGTAATTATTAAAGCCTTTGAGTGGTTATTTGGGAACTGGCCAGAGGGAGAGACACTTTGATTTACATTTCTTGTAATGGCCTTTCAGTGTGTCATGCATTATACTCTTTTGCCCAAACAGCTTTTCTTGCAAATGTTCACTGCAATGAGTTGTTGATTTGGTTTGAAGTCACTGGCTTCTGGCATACCATCAATACTGGACCCTCACTGAAACTTCTCTAGTATGTCCTGCTCTTACCCTAAGTCATGGAAATCCTGAAGCTGTGGTTCTGCAGCTCTTTAACACATTCCAGCAGGTCATAGACGGATAGATGTTGGGGTGTGCCAACTCAAAGTCCTGGATGTGGGTCTGGGTGGTGGCTGAGTTGGTCTGTCTGGGCAGCCACTGGGACCACCCCCCACCCCAGCTCTCCTGAAGGGATGGTGAGAGGCAGTACCAGCTTTCTGATGCCCAGGCCACTGAGGCCAGCTCTCCCACCATGTGCCCCCTCCCCTCCCCTCCCATAACATGGGCCATGGGTGTCAACATAGACCCCAGCTTCGGTAGGACTAAGGATTGGGCCTGGATAACATCATGGCCCCAGGTGGCAGTGAAGGCTACTTAGATTAATATGGGCCCAATGTTAGTATGGCCTTCAGACATCAGCATGGCCTCAGGTAGGGGCTGAGACCGTAGGCATTCATATGGCCTTCGGCGGTAACACAGACTATGGACATCAACACAGATCATGGCTTCGTAGGGCCAGGTAACCAGAAATGGCTTTCAGCAGCAGCACAGGCCCAGGCATTACACGGCCCAGGTGGCAGCGTGGGCCACCATATCAGCCTGTTCCTCACCAACATCACATTGTCATTCTGCTTCTTTCTCCACAGCACTCTGCTCTTCTCTCCCATTTCTCACCCACATACCCGTTCATTGTAGTTGTGTGATCTCTGCCCCAAGCCCACCCAGGCTGCTTGGCTGTGGGTGGGCACGGGAGGGTTTATATCTTATACAAAAATATTTCAGGTAGGAGGAAAACAAAGAAGGTACCCATCCCTCCTCCTCCTCCTCCTCCTCCTCCTCCTCTTCCTCCTCCTCCTCTTCCTTTTCAAAACAGGGTTTCTTTGTGTAGCCTTGGCTGCTCTGGAACTTGCTTTGTAGACTAGGCTGGCCTCAATCTCACAAAGATCTGCCTGCCTCTGTCTTCTGAGTGCTGGGATTAAAGGTGTTTGTCACTACAGTCGGACTACAGTCGGGCTTTTTTTTTTTTTTTTTTTTTTTTTTTTTTTTTTTAAGAAACATACAGACTTAATAGCCACATCATCCAAGGAAAATGTAAAACAAAATTAAAAAAAAAAAAACCCTCCTCCTCAAAACTATAGGTCAACTGCTTACAGTAGTCTGTATGCTAAAAAAACAAGACAAAACAAAAACAAAGAAACCAAAACCCAAAAACTTACATATTAAAACAAAACATCTTGTTAAAAGATTTGAGAATAAGCCCTTTTCAAGTGGGATATACTGGTGCATGGCTATAGTCACAGCATTGGCAGGTTAAGGTAGGAGGATTGAAAATTTGAGGCCAGGCAGAACTATAGAGTGACACTCTGTAAAAACAAAGTAAACCTTTCCCATAAACAAGATAAATTGGAGTAATATGTTCATGTGCAATTCCAAGAAAATAAAAGCACATGGAATAACATGAAAGATACCCACATCCACCATCAACATGAATATAAAATTAATTATAATAACACAAATAATATCCCTAATATCACATTTACTTCAAAATTATTTAATTGTGAAGAAACCCCATTGCATACATTGCATTGCAGTAACATCCTAGTCTACTGGAGAACAATTTTGGATATATAGTAAAAGTATACATATTCTAAAAACCAAGAGACTCTACACGCAGGTATCTTCTGTATTGTCTTCAGTGTATCTTCAGCGTCCTTACTTAAGAGGTAAATTAACCAAAGTCTAGTAAATGAATTAATCCATGTACATCACTTAGAATAATAGTGCCTGGGGTATACATGTGTCATATACACTTCGTTATGTATCACCGTGTATCAGCTGTAGGTGAGATTTTCCAAATCTGTCAATATCATCAATACTGGGAAGTAACATATTTGAGATGCTCTTAACATTGCATGCCTGGACAGGTATATTGAAAGGGGAATTTACTGTCAACCTTTGATCCGTTTGGAGGCAGATTGTTCCTCTCCTTCCTCGTTCTAAGAAGGATCATGTTTCCTCAGAGATGAGGAGACCTTTCAGTCAAATAGAGGATCCTTGGTGGGTTGGTGTTTGCCTGGTTGCTACACTTGGGTTTTGGCTGGCTGCGGGCTTCATGTATTCAGTCCCTTCTGGACAGCAGGGGTAGGGGATGCCGAAAAGGGACAGTAGTCACTAGGGAGGCTTGCTGGGGAGGGTCCCCCAGGAAAGCTGCGCGGGTTTTCTCACCTGGCAGTCTAGGCAATGTTAGAAAGTTATTTGCCAAAAAGTAGGAGAGGGCGTTGCTCAGAGGCGAGGTCACTCCTGCACCTGTGAAGACTCTTCTGGCAAGACGCACGCCTGGAGCTTCAAGTGGGAACCTCAGGATCGGGACTACCTAGCCAACGCTTGCTGGGGGATGACCGTCCCTGTGTAGAGCCTGCCAGCCAAGCTCGGGAGGAGGAGCTTTCAAGTCTAGAATGTCAGTCAGGCCACGCTGGCCGGGAGAGGAGCGGAAACTAGTCCCGAGGGGAGAGAACTCGTGACTGCTGAAGCGGAGTTGACCTGAAGTGTGCATGACATTTTTCTGGAAGAATCGGGAAGTGGCCAATGGACAGCAGAAGCGAAGCAAAGAACCCTAGAGGATCAGAGAGATCTCCTCCAACAAAACGCATCCAAGGGCTTCAAATCCAGTAGTTTACAAGCCCACCGCTTTCAGGCAAAGTCGGTGCAGATCCGGCTTCCTGGAAGGGTCCCGGGTGCCGCTTCCCGGCCAACTCTAAAACCCGGAGCGCAAAAATCCAGCCAATCCAGAGCAGCAGGCGCGGGCCCGACACAGTGCGCACGCGCAGGGGGTGGTTCCGCCAGGTCGGCCGGAGCGGTGACGAGCCCGGAAGCGTCTGCGCGCGCCCCGTCCGTACCACAACTAGTTTGGTTCGGTGTCCTCGGGACGTCAGCCTTCGGAAAGAACACCCGGCTGCAGCCGCCCGCTCGCCGGTACCGCCGCGATGTCCAGCAACAGTTTCGCCTACAACGAGCAGTCGGGAGGAGGGGAGGCGGCGGAGCTGGGGCAGGAGGCCACCTCGACCATCTCTCCCTCGGGCGCCTTCGGCCTCTTCAGCAGCGATTGGAAGAAGTGAGCACCCGGGCTCGGGCTGCGGGGACATCAGGCGGCCGCCCGGCTGCTCTCGTGGGTGGCTGGGTGGGTTGGCCGCGCGCGGTGCAGGGAATTTTAGGGGGACACCTGGGGGCGTGAAAGGCAGCTCTGGTGGTTTTCAAACTTCAGTGGAGTGGGTAGAGAACCAGTCGGTGAGCTGAGGTCCCTCTTCCCAAACCGTTGGTTCCAACACTGGGCACAGGAGTTTGAATTTTGAACTTCTAGTGAATTGAATTGATGTCTCCAGGGTCAGACTTGGAGAAAGTGACTATTTAAGGTGAAGAGAGTATTTTGGGGAGGGGGGTTGAGAGTGGGAATGCTGCCTATTGGACCCTTCTATGTAGGGGCTAAGCGGTAGTTTGGGGTTCTGTTTGAATGACAAACTGGTTCTTTTTTTTTTTTTTTTAAATCACCTTTGGCGGTTTTACTTGATCTTTGCCCCAGGGTACTCCCCTGCCCCGCCCCCTAAAAATTGAGATAATATTTAAATAGAGTCTTGTAGTGAACCAGTCCTAATTTATGCATGTACAAATAGCGTGAATATAAAAAATAAACATTAATCATTGTACACTCATTTTTTGTAAAAAGTTACTAAGGGTTCATGTCAGATACCAGCCAGAATTGTAAACATCCTTAGCGGGTTTATTCTTAGTTTAGTTTTTACATTTTTTGTGCAGGGGGAGGGTTGGGTCGTGTATAAATGTACAGAATTATGACAACTTTAATGGTTAGTCCCCCACTCCTTTCTTTTTTTCCAGCAGGGTCTCACTGTGTAGAGCAGGCTGGCCTGGAAATCCACCTGCCTCTGCATCCCTAGTGCATGCCGCAAGTGCCAGTCCACGTTTGTCTTATTTTTGATATCCTATTGTTACACAATGGGGTAAAACAATAGACTGTCACTAGATTGTGCCAACTTAATGCACAGTAACTGGGCTGGTAGTTTTGCAGTAGTTAGGAGAATATAATTATGGAATTGGGGGGAGGAGGTTAAAGGGAGAATCCTGTTCTTAAGCTTAGGCTGGCCTCAAACTGGAACTGTCTACCCTCCTGTTTCTTCCTCCCAGGTGCAGAAATAACAGGTGTGCATTGTCAATGCCAACTTCGTAATTCAAATTTTAATATGATTCCATAGACTATATAAACTGCTAATAGCTGAAACAGATTAAATTTTGACTCTCTTGACTGAAATCTTGTATATAGCACATTGATTATCTTTGTGTTCATTATTTCCTGGACAGGAAAGTTTAAAAAATAATTGATCTCATCTGTCATTGTGTGCATTTAGGTGATTGATTGATCCAACAAGAAGTTTAGTCTAACACTACATTTTTTCTTAACAAACTGTTTTAGTTGTTGAATTTGCATGTGACTTGTGCCTGGTTTGGGAAGAACGTATGGCTTTATAGTATAGTTGAATTCAAAAGTGTTAACCCTGAATGCTTGTGCACTTGGGCACTAATAATTATATCACTTTAGTGTGTATCTGCTTGCAGGGGCCTTGACTGGGCAGATGCTCTGCCACTCAGCTGCATCTCCAGCCCTCAGTCCTTAGTGAACTGTTACCAGATACTTCTCTGATTCCACTTTAAGGGTGAGGAAATTGTAGACCAGTGGTTAATTTGCCCAAGGTCACACAGCTGTTTGAATTTGAATCTGGACATTCTAATCTCAGGTTTTCCTCTGTTGTGTTTGGATGTACTATTAACTACTTGAAATCGTGCTATTTTTATTAGGGAATGCATATAGCTCACCGTAAAGTTTAAAACTTTGAGTAATAGCCATAGACACTGTATGACCTTGAAGCATTCAGGGGTTGACAATTTTTGCCTGCTGAGCTGCAGTCTAGTGGAGTTTGTAGTGAGAAACAGACTGAATCCTGTTCTGCAAGTGGCTACTTCATTTCATCTCTCATGAGTTCTCATTTAAAAAAAATGTGAAAAAAATTTGTCTTTCAGGACAAGATCTCACTATGTAGCCCAGGCTGGCTCCAAACTTGTAATCCTTTTGCCTTAGACTCTTGAGTGCTTGGATTTACAGGTGTAGCCTACCATACCCAGCTTTCCTGCTCTGCTTTCTAATGGATTACTTTGAAATAGCTTCTTTTTGTTTTTACTTTAAAATCATTTTAGGTTTTTTTTTTCTTCAGCATTTGTAAGGAGAAACACTCTTTATGTAGAATCACCAATTATGATTTTTAACTTTTTATTGTTTAGTTATATGTCTTAGTATGTGGGTTTTGCAGTACCCACAGAGGCCAGAAGAAGGCATTAGATCTCTGGAATGGGCTGCTGTTAGCTGCCTAATGTGGTGCTGGAAATCAAACTTGGGTCTTCTGCAAGATCAGCATTTGCTCTTAACCACTGAACTGTCTCTTTAGTCCAGAATCACCAATCAAAACAAGAGTTGCTGTGCTATTCACATGTCCCCCTCCCCTACCTTCCCCTCCTCTCCCTTTCTCTTCCCATTTACACACACACACATTCATTCACAAACATGCACACTCACACATGTACACACACATGTCAAATGAATTGTTATCTTGTGAACCATGGAGATTAATTTGTTTAAATCATGCCCTTTACCCTTAAAACCTTAGTATATGTTTTTGGTAATAAAAATAGTCTCCTATGCAATGCTGGTTACAGATACGATAGAGAAATTTAATATTGGTACAGGATATTATACAGTCCAGGTTTGCCCTCTGTTCCAATAGTGCCCCTTCCTTTCTTTTAGCATGTTTTTGTTTAGTATGGGATCTAGTTTAGTGTCATACAGTATTTCATATAGTGATCATATCTCTTTAATCTCCATACATGAGTTCTTAGCCTTTCTATGTCTCACATGACCCCCATTTAAAGAGTACATCTTTTGGTTTGGGTTTTATGGCCATGAATAGGGGATTGCCTTAGTTAATATGTCTTCCAACTGTTATGGCTAGAGATACAGGATACAGGATACTCACCATCTTCCTAACTTTCCCAGTTAAGGGCCCCAAATCAGTTTGTGGGAAGATACCTTGAGACTATGTAATGAGCTTTTTTATTAAAGTTTTCAGCACTCAGATGTGAATCTTCTGTTTTGAAGGATTTATTTCATTTTTTATTTGTGTCTGTGAGTGTGTGTATCTGTGTGTGAGTGTGTATATGTAAGTATAGGTGATCAAGGAGGCCTGATGGGGATGCTGGAAAACACTCAGATGCTCCTCACTGCTGAGCCATCCTAGTCTGAGACATCAGTCTTCTGAACCCACCTTTACTGCTGTGGCTGTGGGTGGGGGTGCCTCTGCTCCCTGTGTCCTCTGCAGTGTGCCTGCTCACCCTGTATTTTGGGACTCTGTGTTCTTTAGTACTTCACTGTTTCAATTACCAGTCAGTTTTTGTTTTCAGAATTTTACTTGTAATTTTTTAACCCTTCTCACAGTTCAAACAAAACCAGAATTAGGGAGCATTATATAGTTTTATGAAAGCATAACCTCAACACAGTTGCTTTGTTAGTTGTCCCAGTATGTTAGTTTATTGGCCTTAAAGTTTTTCATTTCAGTTTTAAATGTAAAAAAACTAAATTATTTCCCTCCTTTCTTTTGGAATAGTCTACACTTTCATTGCTTTTAGTTTTCTTCTAAGTTATTTTTCTTTATCCTTAAAAAAAGAGAGCCTTCCTTATCTTAGTCCATTTGAGTGTGTGTATCAAGAAAGAATTTCCTGTTTCTTTCTGGCCTAAACATTTAATTGTAAAGTCATTTCTACATGAATCAAATAAGACTAGTCAATTTTCTGATTCTTTTTCTAAATTTCCAAGTATTTTGTATGTATCTCATTAAAACATTTAAGGTATCACTTAAATATTTTTATTACCATGTAGTAATGGTAGATATTTATGATGTTCATTGTGGTATTTCAATGTGTTTGTACATTATATACTGATGATACCAGGGTAAATTAGCAATTCTGTCTTCTTATTTCTTTGTTTAGAGCCTTTGACTTCTAACTTTCTTACAACTCCAAAGTAGTTCATTGAGAACTATAAGTGGCTCATTATTTTGTTGCTGTAAGGAGACACCATGACCAAGGCAACTCTTGTAAAAGAAAGCATTTAGTTGGGGCCTTGCATACATAGTCCATGGTCATCATGGTGTAGACAGGTATAGTGGGGGAGTGTAGTTGAAAGCTTCACATCCTGATCTACAGGCAGCAGACAGCAGGCAGAGGGAGCAAGACTGGGCCTGGTATGGAGTCTTGAAACCTCACAGCCCACTCCCAGAAGCTTATCTCCTTCAACAAGGTCACACCTTCTCCAACAAGGCTCCAGTCGCCAATCTTTCCCAAACAGTTCCAATAACTGGGACCAAGCATTAAACATATGAGCCTGAGGGGGCCATTCTCATTCACACCACCACAGGATACTAGGACTAACTTCTTTCATCTCACTAGTTTGGTAGTCATCCAACTCCTTTCTTTCCCCCTCAGTTCAGTAGATACAGTGATTGCAAATGTAGGATGCTGGTGATCCAGAGCACAAGGTTTCCTGAGTCTCCTTCCTTTGGGAGCATTGTGGAATATTGGAGCATCACAGGAGACTCAGTTAAGTAAGTGCTTTCCAGTTATAGTGCTTTCTTGTTCAACTTGGTTGATTTCCTCAAATTGCAGTTTCCTCGTTTCTAGAAAGGGTGTGGTTAATAACTGTTCTGGGATTTTTAAATTTTTTTCAAGATACAGTTTCTCTGCGTTGCTCTGGCTGTCCGGGAACTCTCTGTAGACCAGGCTGGCCTCGAATTCAGAGATCTTCCTGCCTCTGTCTCCCAAGTGCTGGGATTAGAGCTGCTACTGCCCAGCTGCTTGGAAATTTTTTGTAAGTGTATTTGAAAACTTTCAGCTTCCCTTCCTCCTCCTCTCTCTTCTCTCCTCCCTCTTTCCTTTCCCTCCCCCATCCCTTCTTTCTCTTCCTTTTTGTTTATCTATTTCTTTTTGAAGTAGGGTCTC